TCCTAGCTACTGGCCTGCTCCCAAGGAACCTCTGGGTTCCTCCAGACATAGAGCTGGATCTCACAGAAGAGATCACGGAAGTAGGGAATGGGATGGATGTTTCCACACGTCCCTCAAGCACCCTGCCGTTTGTCTTGGGACCAGTGTTCCCTCTAAGCTGAGTCAGTGTGAGCCAGCTCACAGTTTTAGAGCCTCCGGCTCACACATTTTTGTCTTCGCTCAGGAAGGAGGGCTCCAGGGCAAACTAATTTACGCAGTAGCCGAATTGCTCGCTCACAACTTTCATGCCGGGAGCTCACAAAGTGGAATTCTTGCTCACAAGACTCCGCAGCTTAGAGGTAGCGTTGCTTGGGACCAGTGTTGCCTCTAAGGTGAGTTAGTGTGAGCCAGCTCACAGTTTTTTAGCCTCTGGCTCACAAACTTTTGTCTTAGCTCAGGAAGGAGGGCTCCAGAGCTGACTAATTTATGCAGTCGCAAAATTGCTCGCTCACAACTTCAATGCCAGTAGCTCTCAAAGTGGAATTTTTGCTCACAAGACTCCGCAGCCTAGAGGAAGCATTGAGACCAGTGTTCCCTCTAAGCTGAGTGAGTGTGAGCCAGCTCACAGTTTTCTAGCCTCCGGCTCATGCATTTTTGTCTTCGCTGAGGAGGGATGGCTCCAGAGCAGTGTTCCCTCTAAGCTGAGCGAGTGTGAGCTAGCTCACAGTTTTTTAGCCTCCGGCTCACACATTTTTGTCTTCTCTCAGGAAGGACGGCTCCAGAGCAAATTAATCTTTGCAGCAGCCAGATGGCTCGCTCACAACCAGTGTTCCCTCTAAGCTGAGTTAGTGTGAGCTAGCTCACAGTTTTTTAGCCTGCGGCTCACACATTTTTGTCTTAGCTCAGGAAGGGATGGCTGCAGAGCAAAACTAATTGATGCATGTCGCGCTCTCCCTTGGACTTCGGTGCGGCGCCCCCAGTGGCCGTGGTGTCGGGGGTCTCGAACAGACTCTGGCAGGGGAGACGGCCCTTGGAGCGGCAGGATCCAAAAAGGGAGAGGGGCTTCAGACAGGCAGGGGGCAGGGTTAATGTCAGCCTGAGAGTCCCTCTGCCAGTGTGCTGCAGACTTTCTTCCTCTCTTTCTGCTGTCTTTCTGTCTCTCTGTTCAGCATCCCACTTCATTCCACAGCGCACTCCTCCTCCCTGGCCCCTTCTCCACCTTGCCTTTTATCGCCCCACCCCGCTCCCAGGACCGCCCATCCGCCCTCCGGCTTGGGCCACGCCCTCCTTTATCTATCTGGACGCCAGCGGGGCGTCTCTGGGGCGAACGCTGATACGCTGCCGGTGGCTCTGACGGTCTCTGGGCCGCAGCGCCGATCTGCGGCAGTACTCGCTGCTCCGCGTCCGTTCCTCGCCCGTCGGACAAGCAGCCACCACCCCTCTCCTCTTCCGTGGGGCTGCTCCGTGGACCCCGGTCCTGTCTCCAGGCTCAGCTGACATAGCTCGCCGCGGGAGGGGTCCCTGCTCCCGACTCACTCCCCGGACCATTTAACTTCGCCCCGTCTGGTGAGTCATGCCTGGGGTGTCTTGCAGGGTCTGTCGGGGGCCCCGGGGGCCCGTTCTGCACGTCCCACGAACTCTGGAGCGAGACAATGCAGTAGCCGAATTGCTCGCTCACAACTTTAATGCCGGTAGCTCACAAAGTAGGATTCTTGCTTGCAAGACTCCCCAGCTTAGGGGGAGCATTGCCCCCTGGATTTAACTTTAATGCCGGTAGCTCACAAAGTAGAATTCTTGCTCACAAGACTCCCCAGCTTAGAGGGAGCATTACTCGGGGACTCCCCGGAGGACTTGAAGAACCTGGCAAGCAGAATGCACCAAAAGATGGGGCGCTTCAGCAAGGCGGGGGAATAAGGTGAAATCGCCTTTCTGCTCCGTGGAATCGAGCATTGAAGGGAAGGGGGGGCAATTGTAGCCAATTCCTGTGCGTCTCCGCAGTGCCCCAGCCTGTTGTGTGTTCCTCCAGCGCTCAGAGGGTTTGGGGCTGTGTGGGGAAGGCAGGAAAAGAGCTGCTCCACCAACTCCTTCCGTAAACTCTTCCGCTGGATATTTGGAATTTTATTTTATTTATTTATTTAAGCATTTTTACCCCGCCCTCCCCGCAAGCGGGCTCAGGGCGGCTTCCAGAGGGCTACAGCCCATACATAAAATCCATAAAACAATAAAAACATAGCATCAATTAAATATAACAATAATAAATAGTGCATCTTAACAAGATGGTCTTTAGCAAAGATGGCGTCTCTGATCTTCAGTCAGTCCCATTGGGGTGCCACTCTCCAGTAGATGTTAATTGTACACGGCATAGCCTTGTTTATGCCAAACCGCTTCTGGCGGTGCCTAGCCTGACTCTTCACTGGAGTTCAGCGCAAACCTTGAACGCTAATCCACATCTGGCCCCTCCCGTCGGCCAAGTGGCATCTCCCTGGGACCATTTTGGGTGAGGGGGATGGCCGAAGCCCCTTCTCCACCACTACCCCCGGGCGCTGGGGTCCCAGTCTGAATCCAGGCCCCACGCCCTTGGGAGATGAGTCCCCCCACACTTGACGTCAGGCCGGGGGACAGTTCTCAAGACAAAACATGAAATGTATTTTACAGCTCTTGATACAACATACAAAATGTGTGTATTTTATTTATTTATTTATTCATTTATTTTATTCGAATTCTATCCCACCCTCCCCACATAGCAGGCTCAGGACAGGTTACATTGAATTTGGTGAAAAAAATACAATAGGCAGAAATTAACACAGTTAAAACACCAATCAAATACAATTACAAATAGTCTGATCCTTGGGGGTCTTAACTTTTTGGGGTTGAGTCCGCAGCCAAGCTCCCGTGGCTCACTGGCGGAGCATCCGCTTGGCATGCGGGAAGTCCCAGGTTCAGTCGCTGGCACCTCTGGTTAAAGGATCTAGCAGGAGGTGATGGGAAAGACATAACAACATCAGAAGAGCCCTGCTGGAGCAGACCAGTGGTCCCTCTAGTCCAGCATCCTGTCTCACACAGTGGCCAACCAGTTCCTCTGGAGGGCCAACAACAGGGCACAGAGGCCAAGGCCTTCCTAAGGACATCAGAAGAGCCCTGCTGGATCAGACCAGTGGTCCCTCTAGTCCAGCATCCTGTTTCACACAGTGGCCAACCAGTTCCTCTGGAGGGCCAACAACAGGGCACAGAGGCCACGGCCTTCCTAAGGACATCAGAAGAGCCCTGCTGGATCAGACCAGTGGCCCATCTAGCCCAGCATCCTGTCTCACACAGGGGCCAACCAGTTCCTCTGGAGGGCCAAGAACAGGGCAGAGAGGCCGAGGCATTCCTAAGAACCTTAGAAGAGCCCTGCTGGATCAGACCAGTGGCCCATCTAGTCCAGCCTCCTGTCTCACACAGGGGCCAACCAGTTCCTCTGGAGGGTCAACAACAGGGCAGAGAGGCCGAGGCCTTCATAAGAACATCAGAAGAGCCTGCTTGGTCAGACCAGTGGCCCATCTAGTCCAGCCTCCTGTCTCACACAGTAGCCCAACCAGTTCCTCTGGACATCTGCCTGTGCCTGAGACCCTGGAGAGCCGCTGCCAGTCTGAGTAGACAAGACTGACCTCGATGGACCGATGGTCTGATTCAGTATAAGGCAGCTTCATGTGCAACTGTGTTCTTTTTCTTCTCCAGATGGAAGTCTGATTTCAATTAACCATCAAAAATAAAAAATACACAATAAATGTGCTAGGTTCGAGTCCAGTAACTTCTCAAAGACCAACAAGATTTCCGGGGTCTAAGCTTTTGAGAATCAGAGCTCCCTTCGTCGAAAAGCTTTGACCGTCGAAAATTCGTGCCCTGGAAATCTTGCTGATCTCTTAAGGCAGTGAAGGTAAAAGTTTACCTTGCTCGAAAGCCAGTCGAATCCGACTCTGGGGGCAGTGCTCATCTCTGTTTCCAAGCTGAAGAGCCAGCAGTGTCCAAAGACGTTTCCGTGGTCACGTGGCTGGGATGACTAGACGCCGAGGTGCACGGAACACTGTTACCTTCCCACCGAAGCGGTCCCTATTTATCGACTTGCAATTTCTTGCTTTTTTTTTTTAATTAAATTTTATTTTCATTATAAAGTAGGATACATAAAAGTTCAGAATAATGACAATAGTGGCAAACTTGTATCAAGGTAGGTAACATCAAAAATCAGAAAAAATACAATTGCTTGTTTCAAAAAATAGAAGACTATACTTTCCAGTCTAAATCAAGGGGTAAAGCAAAGATCAACAAACTTTTGGCATAAGGGTGCTAACTAAGTATCCAGTATATGTACAACTATAGCAAATCAGTTAAATTTTTGCTGCCAATGTCGGGAGATGGTTTACATCCATTCCCTAAACTGCTGCCAAGAGGAGGGTAAGAAATCTTCTGTTGCTAAGAATTCCAATATAGGTTCCCATTTTTCCATTACAGGCTTTTCTATGGGTTTTGGGGTTAATCTATTAAGTTTGTTGGTAACTGAGTCCATAAGGAATTGGTCCCACAACTTTTGATACCAGAGACTCAATGTGGGAGGATTTGGATCTTTCCAACAAGTAGCAATCGCTGTTCGTGCAATTTCTTGCTTTTGAACTGCTAGGTTGGCAGGAGTTGGGGCTGGAGACGGGAGCGCAGTCTGTCTTGCGGCACTCGGGTCTCGAACTGCCGAACTACCGACCTTCCGCTCTGCAGCTCAGCATCTTAACCTCTGAGCTGCTGGACTCGAATCCAGCTCTTCCACTGCAGACCGACACGGCTTCCCTCGGAAACCATCTTAGTACCACAAATAAGTGTTCGCCGCGTTTCTTGCCTGCCACCAACGCATTCGGCGACTGGCCTTTCCCAAGCCTACCCGACTTTCAGTGGGACTCCCTCTTGCGTTTCTTGCCTTCGCTTTAAATCCTACAGCGGGCCTCGTCTTGTGCTTCGGAGCAACAACTAAAACTCGTTTCTCTCCTCCCTGCCAGCTCGGGTCCCGAAGAAAATCCTGAAATGTAAAGCCGTCTCCCGGGAGCTCAACTTCTCCTCGACAGAACAGATGGAAAAATTCCGTCTGGAACAGAAAGTCTATTTCAAAGGACAGTGTCTAGAAGGTACTGTTTGGGTCTGTGGGTAACTCCGCAGTGGCTGAAGGTAATGGCCGGCGAGGAAGGATAATAGTGAGCTTCAAATGGACTCCGGCTAATAGCTGGATCCTGTTTCTGGAGCGAGTTATCAGCTTACAGGAGGGAACATTAGGGTCTGCTCCTCATATATGATTTACCCAGGGGTCATTTCGTAGAAAAAGAGGTGCAGGAGCTCATTAGCATAACTTATTTGCATATGCCACACCCCCTGGCATCACCAGAAGTGTGTCAGAAGGCAACACCCACCGCTCAGGCTCCACTAGACTGTTTTGGATTGCTAGGTATTGGGGGAGGGGAACGTGCAGATCTGTCCTCACAGAGGAGGGAGAGCTTGTACCTGAATAAAACTTGGTCTTAAAGGTGCCACTGGACTGTTTTGGACCGGGGGGCCTCTGCAACGTACCTGGCTGCTTCTTGCTCTGACTGAGGGCTGCTGGGAGCAGGGGGTGGGGCTTGTTGCATGTGCCCGCCCCCTGGGCTCTCTACTGCTGGAGCTCCGCTCCTGTGCGCTCCTGCAGGAAATGACCCCTGTGATTACCCATTGGATTAGGGGGTTGCGGCACCTTCCCTGTGAGGAAGGGCTGAGGAGTGGGCGGCTTTTCAGTTCAGAAAACAAACGACTAAGGGGGAAGGTAGTAGAGGTTTATAAAATTGTGCACGGGGTGAAGAGCGTTGACAAAGAGAACATCCTCCCCTCTCTCCCAAAAGACTAGAACACGAGGGCATACAGTGAAGCCGATGGGCAGTAGGTTCAGGACAGACAAAACGAAATACTCCTTTTACAACAGAGAGTCATTACAGTGCGGAATTCGTAATGACGGCCACAGGAATCAACGGCTTTAAAAGGGGATTAGATAGATTCATGGAGGAGAGGTCTGTCAGTGGCTACCAGCCATAGTGACTAAAGGGAACTTCTACATTCAGAGGTGTTAATCCTCTGAATCCCAGTGCCAGGGAGGCAGTCTTAGGGAAAGGCCTCTGCCTTTATGCTGTTGTTGGAGCTCCAGAGGAACTGGCTGGCCTCTGTGAGAGACAGGAGGCTGCACTGAGTCACTTTCTTGTATGGCTTAATGTGACTTCTCAAAACTGCAGTGAGACCAGTGAGGAAGTCCAGGGTTGCTGTGCAGAGGCAGGCAATGGCAAAGCAGCTCTTCTCCTCTCTTGGCTTGAAACCTCATAACCTAAGCAGGGTCGGCCCCGGTCAGTCCTTGGATGGGAGACCAGCGAGGAAGTCCAGGGTTGCTCTGCAGAGGCAGGCAATGGCAAAGCACCTCTGCTCATCTCTTGCCTTGAAAACCCCATAGGGGGTGACCAGAAGTCGCCCACGACTCGATGCCGCTTTCCACCACTAGCTCCGCTCTTGGTGAGCGCAAGCCTTTGGGTTCCCCAGAACAGGGAAGTCTTAACAAATGCCCTCGGCAAGTTTTCCTTTGGCCGCTGATGCCGAAAGCCCATGTGAGATTGTTGGCGATTTCGGGAAACGCATCCCCAGTTTTTCACGACTGTCTGAACGTATCAAGCTGCTGGCTCGCTGGCTGTTCTTCAGCTGTGGGCTGTTCCCAAGTCTGTCTGGATTCTCTGCTGGGGAGGGTGGTCCCGAGAGCCTGGGGACGGCCGCCCAAGACAGCCCCTTTAAACAGCTGAGCCGCGGGAGCGGTTTGCACCATGCGGCTCACCTGTTCAAAGGGGCTTTCTTTACAGCCAGCCCCTGGGGGCTCCGTTGGGCTGTACCATGTGGTCCTAAATCAGGGGTGGCCAAGCTTGCTTAAGAGCCACATAGAATAAACGTAAGCTGTCTGAGAGCCGCAAGGCAAATATCACACACCCTTTTTTATTAACATTAAACGAGGCTGCCAAAAAAAAAGAAAGAAAGAAAGGAGGTAAAACAGATATTGATAATGATATTTATTTGTCCAACGATATCTGTTTGCTAACGATATTTATTCGAGAGGTGAGAGAGAGAGAAGTGAAAAGAAAGAACGAAAGAGGTGGAAAGAGAGAAAGGGAGAGAAACAAAGAAGGCAAACAGATGGGGAAGCGAGGGAGGGGGGAAGGAAGGGAGAGAGAGTGGGAGAAAGAGCGGAAAAGAGAAAGAAAGGTGGAAGGAACACTGGCTGGGGGAGGGAAGACCGATCGGGGAGGCACGCCTCCACTCCGCTTCCCCAGCCTCATTGCCGGGAGCCACACAAAAGAGCCACACGCGGCTCCCGGGCCGCAGTCGGGCCACCCCTGTCGTAAACGAGGGGGAAGGCTTTCCAGCAAGCTCACGGGCTGGGAGGGAGCTGACAGGAGGAGAGGGGAGGGGGGAACCGGGCTGCCCTGACGCCGCTCCCCCGTTCCTCTCTTTGCAGAATGGTTCTTCGAGTTCGGCTTCGTGATCCCCAACTCCACAAACACCTGGCAGTCCTTGATAGAGGCTGCTCCAGAGTCTCAGATGATGCCGGCGAGCGTCCTGACGTGAGTAGCTCCGTGTGAAACCCCTGGCAAAGAGGGGCCGCAGGAAACGTTGGCAGGGGACATTAGATCTTCTAGGTGTACTTCTTCACCCAAAGAGTCATTCTCACGTGGAATTCACTGCCGCGGGAAGTGGTGGCCGCCACACGCACGGACGGCTTCAAGTGGGGACTGGAGAAGCCTATGGAGCAGAGGTCCATCGGTGGCGATTAGCCACAAGGTATAGACCGGGGGTGTCAAACGCAAGGCCCGGGGGCCGGATCAGGCCTGTCCCGGGCTCTTATGCGGCCCGCGAGCAACTGATGCAAGGGAGGGAGTGCTGGGGGGGAGTGGGCGGAGCCACTCCATTGTGGCTTCAGCACAGCAGAACAACCTTGCCTGCATCAGTCAGGCATCGTGGGAGCGTCTGCCCAGCACGGCACTGCTGGCTCTCGAGTCCGCCTCTGTGGGTTTTTCTCTGTATCCCCCTCCCACCCCAGGTGGCCTTGCAGTGAGGATACTATCGGGTGTAGTAAATAAGAAGCTGGAGACCGACTGGTGATGAAGGTGCATAGAAAGTTTATATAGATATAATGGTGAATATATACACAGAGATATACAGGCTATCATACAGCATACCGTGCCTTAGCTTGAGAGACTAAGTCCCCACCTAGCTTATCAAGCTGATAGCTAATATACTAAACCCAGCCAATCACTAACAAGATGAACTAATTACCTACTCTAACAATGCCTGATAGAGAACACCTGCTAGTACAACACCTGGCTGTAATCACTTAATCACTAGCATGACAGCTAGGACTGTCAAACAGATCAAACTGATCTAGTAACTGCTTGCTACCTCTATCACTTAGACATATATCTCAATAGATACACCAACTCAGAGCTCACCAGCTGCTGTCCTTTATACAGTTTCTGTCTCTAGTACCTGGCATTACGTTTTATGGCAGACATGGCCCGGCCCAACAAAGAGGCATTCATGTCAGATCCAGCTCTTGTAACATATGAGTTTGACACCCCTGGTATAGATGGAAAACTCTGTCTGGGGCAGTGATGCTCTGTATCCTTGGTGCTTGGGGGGGCCACAGTGTGGGGGGGTGTTCTGGAGTTCTGGCCCCGCTGGTGGACCTCCTGAGGGCACCTGGGTTTTGGCCGCTGTGTGACACAGAGTGTTGGACTGTTCCCTCTAAGCTGTGGAGTCTTGTGAGAAAAAATTCCACTTTGTGAGCTACTGGCACTAAAGTTGTGAGCGAGCAATTTGGCTGCTGCATAAATTCATTTGCTCTGGAGCCATCCTTCCTGAGCTGAGACAAAACTGTGTGACCTGGAGGCTAAAAAACCATGAGCTAGCTCACACTAACTCAGCTTAGAGGGAACACTGATACATGACGTCTCTCATGTTCTTATGATCTGAACCAAACCACAGTTTGAGAGTTTACCAGGCATTGCGCATGCACATTCAGCTTTAAAGTCTTGAAGCTGTGAGGTTAAAAACCAGCAGGATCTAGCATTGATTATTACACTTTAGAAAATGTTCAAAGAATTCTTTAAACATTATAGTCCATTGTATTGTGGCATTGAAAAAGAAGAGTCGGTTTTTATGACTGTCTACACCGGTTTGGTGTAGAGTTAAGTGCACGGACTCTAATCTGGGAGAACCGGGTTTGATTCCCCACTCCTCCACTTGCACCTGCTGGATGACCTTGGGCAAGCCATAGCTCTGATAACAGCTGTTCTTGAAAAAGACCAGTTTCTGTCAAGAGCTCTCTCAGCCCCACCGACCTCACAGGGTGCCTATTGTGGGGAGGGGAGAGTTTGTAAGCCGGTCTGAAACTCCTTTGGGTAGTGAAGAGCGGGGTAGAAATGCAATCTCTTCTTCTCCTTCTTCTCTACCCTGAGGAGTCTTAAAGCGGCTTGCAATCTCCTTCCCTTCCTCTCCCCACAACAGGGACCTTGGGGTGCTGGTGGGGCTGAGGGAGTTCGGGGAGAACTTGTGACTGGCCCAAAGTCACCCAGCTGGCTTCATGTAGAGGAGGAGTAGGGAATCAAACCCAGTTCTCCAGATTAGAGTCCACCGCTCTTAACCACTACACTGCGCTGGCTCCATTAGGGATGGAGACGGAGAGAATTAGTGGTCTGTGGTTTAGGTGACATTCGGACTGGCGCCTTTCCATCTCATGCTCTTTAGTCCTTTTTGCTACGCCAGATTTTAGGAGGCCCCTGGCTCAATCCCCAGCATCTCCACTTTAAGAGATCAAGTACTAGGTCAAGGGTGTCAAACATACGGCCTGGGGGCCGGATCAGGCCCCCGGAGGGCTTCTGTCAGGCCCGCAGTGGAACTGGCTGTCTTCTGCTTCTTCTTCCAGTTCTGCTGCGGCTGCGTCATCGTAGGTTTCCAGCTTACAGATACACACCTGAACAGCAGACTCAAGATTGCAACAGCACAGACATTTTGATGCAGTAATTCAGAGCAAGAGGTGTCAGTTATCAGACATTATTAAATAAACAGAACATTGCAAGAGTGTTAATGTTTTGTTTTATTTTAAGTAAAAAAAACCCTTTGTGTGTGTCCTTTATAGAGTTTATATCTCTGCTACCAGGCATTACATTTTATGAGATAGATATGGACAAACACGACCCAATCAGAAAATGTATAAAGACAACAGTTGTGAGAGTCTGACCCACAAATCAAGCTTTTTCTTTGCAAGTCTTGGTGACAGCTTGATTTGTGGGTCAGACTCTTACGACTGTTGTCTTTATAATTACATTTTATGACACACATGGCCTGGCCCGACAAGGTCTCATTTATGTCAGATCCGGCCCTCATAACAAATGAGTTCGACACCCCTGGCCTAGAGCACCCCTGACAAGTGTGCGTCCAGCCGCTGCTTCAAGACAGCCAGTGAGGGGGAGGTCACCACCTCCCGAGGCAGCTGACTCCACTGTAAAGGTAAAGGTAAAGGTTCCCTTGCTCGAAAGCCAGTCGAATCCGACTCTAGGGTTGCGGTGCTCATCTCCGTTTCAAAGCCGAAGAGCCAGCCCCAGCATCAGGGTCTTCTCCAGTGAGTGCTCCCTTCTCATTGGGTGGCCAAAGTATTTGAGCTTCAGTTTCATTATCTGGCCTTCCAGGGAACAGTCAGGGTTGATTTCTTTTAGGACTGACTGCCTTGATCTCCTTGCAGTCCAGGGGACTCTCAAGAATCTTCTCTAGCACCATAATTCAAAAGAATCCATTCTTCGGCGTTCGGCCTTCCTTATAGTCCAACTCTCGCAGCCGTACATGACTACTGGGAATACCATTGCTTTGACCATGCGGACGTTTGTTGGCAGGGTGATGTCTCTGCTTTTTATCATGCTGTTTAGGTTCGCCACCGCTATCTATCCCTTGTGGCTAATAGCCACTGATGGACCTCTGTGTGTGTGTGTGTGTGATTTTGAAAACACTAAAGAAACGCTGTGGCCCGAATGGCCCAGGCTGGCCCGATCTCATCAGATCTCCGGAGCTAAGCAGAGTCAGCCTTGATGGATACTTGGATGGGAGACCACCCAGGAAGCCCAGGGCCGTTACACAGGGGCAGGCAGTGGCAAACCCATCTGTGTTCGCCTCTGACCTTGTAAACTCTGCAGGGTTGCTGTAAGCTGGCTGTGACTCGGCGGCACCTCCTGCCACCAAATAAATGCTCGGTGCTCTGAAGACGGCACTCAGTCCCATACGCTCCACTGCAGGATGCACAACAGACCCCCGTCCCTTTAGTCATTGCTGTCGTTGAGATAACAGAGCAGCTCCCAGCCTTATTGGCTTAACCCGTTTGGTGTCGTGGTTAAGTGCGCGGAGTCTAATCTGGGAGAACCGGGTTTGATTCCCCACTCCTCCACTTGCACCTACTGGATGACCTTGGGCAAGCCGTAGTTCTGTCAGAGCTGTTCTCTCAAGGACAATTCTGGAAAGAGCTCTCTCAGCCCCACTGACCTCACTGGGAGTCTGTTGTGGGGAGGGGAAGGGAAAGGAGTTTGTAAGCCACTCTGAGACTCCTTTGGTGTCGTGGTTAAGTGCGTGGACTCTAATCTGGGAGAGCCGGGTCTGATTCCCCACTCCTCCACTTGCACCTGGCTGGATAACCTTGGGCAAGTCCTAGTTCTGATAAGAGCTATCCTTGAAAAAGAGCCGTTTCTGTCAGAGCTCTCTCAGCCCCACCTATCTCGCAGGGTGTCTGTTGTGGGGAGGGGAAGGGAAAGGAGTTTGTAAGCCGTTCTGAGACTCCTCTGGGTCGTGAAGGGCGGGGTATAAATCCAATCTCCTCTTCTCCTTTTTAACCTCACCCACCCTCCATGGCAATATTGAGTCAGAGAGCACTGTCTTAGAAGCCGTTTCTTTCTGGAAGGGACTCCTGGGGCGCTGGGGTCCCTTGAGGCTAGCACCTGGCGGCGTGCCTCTTAACATGCATTGCAGTTGACAGGTACACCTTGAATGCCGGGAGGGAAGTGAACGAAGCCGTTCCTGTTTGGTTTGAAGTTTCCTTTTGGCTCCCTGGAGCCATCACACAGGCGTAGAAGAAGCTGGTGTTGGGTGGGGTGAGGGTCCAGTCCTGGTAGTGAAGAATCCATCCAAATAACCAGCGGAAATACCATATAGCACTTTATGCTTGATGCAGCCTCTTCCTAAGCACGCTGCTGCATGCCACATAATGGCATTAAGTGTATGGAAGCAGTAGAACAAAGTTTGAGTCCAGTGGCACCTTTAAGACCAACAAGTTAAATTCTGGCTATAAGCGTTCATGTGCGTGCACGTGAAAGAAGTATGAAAGAAGTGTGAATGTGTGCGTGCACGTGAAAGAAGTGTGAATGTGTGTGTGCACGTGAAAGAAGTGTGAATGTGTGTGTGCACGTGAAAGAAGTGTGAATGTGTGCATGCACGTGAAAGAAGTGTGAATGCGTGCATGCACATTAAAGAAGTGTGAATGTGCATGCACGTGAAAGAAGTGCAAATGCGTGCATGCGCGTGAAAGAAGTGCGAATGTGTGAATGCGCGTGAAAGAAGTGCGAATGCGTGAATGCGTGAAGTGTGCATGCACATGAAAGAAGTGTGAATGCATGCAAGCATGTGAAAGAAGTGTGCATGCATGTGAAAGAAGTGTGCATCATGCATGCACATGAAAGAAGTGTGAATGCATGCAAGCATGTGAAAGAAGTGTGCATGCATGTGAAAGAAGTGTGCATCATGCATGCACATGAAAGAAGTGTGAATGCATGCAAGCATGTGAAAGAAGTGTGCATGCATGTGAAAGAAGTGTGCATCATGCATGCACATGAAAGAAGTGTGAATGCATGCAAGCATGTGAAAGAAGTGTGCATGCATGTGAAAGAAGTGTGCATCATGCATGCACATGAAAGAAGTGTGAATGTGTATGCACGTGAAAGAAGTGTGAAGTGTGCATGCACGTGAAAGAAGTGTGAATTTATTTATTTATTTATTTACATTGCATTTATATACCGCCCATGACCCCTAATGGGTCTGAATGCGTGCATGCACATGAAAGAAGTGTGAAGCATGCGTGCACGTGAAAGAAGTGTAATATGTGTGCATGCACATGAAAGAAGTGTGAATGTGTGCATGCACGTGGAAGAAGTGTGAATGTGTGCCTGCACACGAAAGCTTGCACCCAGAATTAAACTTCATTGGTCTTAAAGGTGCCCCCACTGGACTCAGACTTTGTTCTGCTTAAAACCAACACGGCGACTCCACTTGAAAGGATACTGTTTGGTTTCACCCTTGTTCATAAGAACGGTAAATGGCTCTTCAGCGGGTTGTCCATTTTGGGGTATGCTTCCCTTGGGGGTTCTCATAAGACAAAGCCACAGTGGGATGAAAGATTCCCTGACATTCCGGAATGTAACTGCTGCTGTGCCCACCTTTTAACTGTTTTAACTGTTTCCATTGCTTAATATTGATTTTCAGTCGCTTACCAATTGTAATTTATTGTCGTAACCCGACCTGACCCTGCTCGCGGGAAGGGATGGGATATAAATCGGCATAAATAAATGTCGTGTGCTTCTGACTCAAAGGGCAGTTCAGTACCACCTCCCATATCTCCCAACACCTGGGAATCTCTCCGTAGCCATGGCCATGTTTTGGGGTTTCTAGTCACAGATGTGCTTTATGAAGTCAAATACTTCACACAGCAAAGAATTAAACTCTTGAATTTGCTGGCAGACGATGTAACGATGGGCACGGGAATAAGCTTTAAAAGGAGATTAAATTCATGGAGGAGAGGTCTATCAGTGGCTATTAGCCATGGTGACCGAGGGGATCCTCCACATTCAGAGGCAGTCAACCTCCAAATCCCAGTGCAAGGAGGCTACATCAGGGGGAAGGCCTCGGCCTCTATGCCTTGTTTGTTTGGCCATCCAGAGGACCTGGTTGGCCACTGGGTGAGACAGGATGCTGGGCTAGATTTTGTGGTCCAGCAGGGCTCTTCTTGTGTTCTTATGAAGACCTCGGCCTCTGTGCCTTGTTGTTGGCCCTCCAGAGGAACTGGTTTAAGGATGCTGGACTAGAGGGACCACTCGTCTGATCCAGCAGGGCTCTTCTTAAGTTCTTAGGAAGGCCTTGGTCTCTGTGAACTGTTGTTGGCCCTCCAGAGGAACTGGTTTAAGGATGCTGGACTAGAGGGACCACTCGTCTGATCCAGCAGGGCTCTTCTTAAGTTCTTAGGAAGGCCTTGGTCTCTGTGAACTGTTGTTGGCCCTCCAGAGGAACTGGTTTAAGGATGCTGGACTAGAGGGACCACTGACCTGATCCAGCAGGGCTCTTTTTAAGTTCTTAGGAAGGCCTCGGCCTCTCTGCCCTGTTGTTGGCCCTCCAGAGGAACTGGTTGGCCACTGTGTGCGACAGGAGGCTGGACTAGATGGACCCTCACTGGTCTGACCCAGCAGGGCTCTTCTGGTGTTCTTCTCAGGGGAAGGCCTCAGCCTCTGTGCCCTGTTGTTGGCCCTCCAGAGGAACTGGCTGGCCACTGTGTGAGGTAGGATGCTGGACTAGGTGGACCCCTGGTCTGATCCAGCAGGGCTCTTCTTGTGTTCTTATGAAGGCGAGCCTCTAAGCCCTGTTGTTAGCCCTCCAGGAGAACTGGCTGGCCACTGTGTGAGACAGGATGCTAGACTAGAGGGACCCTCACTGGCCTGATCCAGCAGGGCTCTTCTGAGGTTCTTGTGAAGGCCTCCGCCTCTCTGCCCCATTGTTGGCCTTCAGAGGGTCTGGTGGCCGCTGTGTGAGACAGGATGCTGGACGAGATGGACCACTGGTCCGATCCAGCAGGGCCGTTCTTAACCCTGCTTTTATTCCATACAGGCTTTCCTCTGATCTCTTCTCTGCCTTTTCCTCCTCTGCAGCGGAAACGTCATCATAGAAACCAAGTTTTACGACGACGACCTCCTCGTAAGCACTTCCAGAGTAAGACTGTTCTACGTTTGAGAGGAAGCCCCGGGGGTGGGGTGGGGGAAAGAGGCCCGGTTTGGTCCCCCGCCCTCCCCCTTCCTCCGGTTCCCGGCGCAGCAGAATTCCCCCACCCCATCCAAAAGCATCCAGCGGAAGATGGTTCCTTTAAGCGGAGACCCCCGTGGGCCCTGCTCGGTGCGACGTTTCCCCCCTCCTCTCTTTTTCTTCCTCCTCTCGAACAGACGGAGGGGGCTGAGCGACTTGCTCTATCACCATCTGCTCAGGGTTTTATGGGGAGGGTGAGCACTGAGTCTCCAAAACAAGGGCAAGCACATGGTCATTGAAGGATCAAGACTGTAAATTATGTTTAGTTTGTTGTTTTGTTTTTTTAAAACTTCCTTTGTAAGTCTTGGGATCTTAGTCCTTAGATTCCTTTCTCTCGGTTTTTTTGGACAAACTTCATGCTTTCTTGATTTCCCCCATTTTCAGTTAACTCTCTCGTACTTATAACCTCTTTTTCCTGTCTTTTCCTTTTTTAAAAAAAAGAAAGAAAGAAATTAATTTCGTCTCACTCCTGGTTTCTGCATAACTGGTCCACACGTCAGCCCCGCCGTCCCCCGCTCATTAAACTTGTAAACTAGACTGATATTATTACATAATGTAATTTAAAAAGATAAATTTCTGAATTAAAAAGCAAATGTTGCTAACCGCGCAAAGTCCAGGTGAGTTTTTATCCGCGTCCTTTCCCCCCTCTCGTTTGAAAAACAACAACATGGAATTCACTGCCACAGGAGGTGGCGGCGGCTACAAGCATGGATGGCTTCAAGAGGGAATTAGATAAGCATATGGAGCAGAGGTCCAACAGTGGTTATTAGCCACAAGGTATAGATAGGGACTCTCGATCTGGGGCAAGGGATGCTCTGTTTTCTTGGTGCTTGGGGGGGGGGGCAACAGTGGGGGGGAGGGAGGGCCCGTTTGGTGTAGGGGTTAAGTGCGCAGACTCTAATCTGGGAGAACTGGGTTTGATTCCCCACTCCTCCACTAGCACCTGGCCGGATGACCTTGGGCAAGCCGTAGTTCTAACAAGATTTGTCCTTGAAAAAGAGCCGTTTCTGCCAGAGCTCTCTCAGCCCCACCTACCTCACAGGGTGTCTGTTGTGGGGAGGGGAAGGGAAAGGAGTTTGTAAGCTGCTCTGAGACTCTCTTGGGTACCGAAGGGCGGGGTATAAATCCAATTTCCTCCTCCTCCTCCTCCTCTTCTTCTTCTTCTGTCCTGGCCCCATTGCTGGACCTCCTGATGGCACCTGGTATTTTTGGCCACTGTGTGATAGAGTGTTGGACTGGATGGGCCATTGGCCTGATCCAACACTGGCTTGTCTTATGGTCTTATGTTCTAACAGCAACAAAACTCTGGGTGGATTCTCAGTATTACATCCACGAAAGAGCAAAAACAGTGGTGTGTCCGGAGATACAAAGAACGACAGCAGGAGGTGGGCTTGTTTCGCACAGAGAAGAAAAGATCCGTATATACCAGAGGACCTTCAGTTTGAGAGACCTGAGCAAGACTCTTTGGGATAGCACGGTTTTGGAGGCCATTAATTCATAGGTTCGCCGTAAGCCGGAAACGACTAGACAGCACTTAACACGTACAGACAACTCCTCCTGGTTTGTGGCTCAACCATGTGGCTTGGGACCAGTGTTCCCTCTAAGCTGAGTTAGTGTGAGCTATCTCAGTTTTTTAGCCTCCAGCTCACACATTTTTGTCTCAGCTCAGGAAGGACGGCTCCAGAGCAAACTAATGTATGCCAAATTGCTCACTCACAACTTTAATGCCAGTAGCTCACAAAGTAGAATTTTTGCTCACCCGACTCCGCAACTTAGAGGGAGCGGTGCTTGTGACTGGGGTATCTGAAGGACTGTTTTTGTCAGACTCTTGCAGCAATCAGTTCCCAACAGCTTTCATTCAGAGAAGTAAAGTTTATTGAGAAATTGAGAGTATGCATGTAATGATTCCTTGGGTGTGTGTGTGTCTTTAAAAGTTTGGTTGCATGGCTGTGGTAGATAGACTAGAGTGGTTGAGAGAGGCAAGTGTGGTATGATTGGTGGTTGACAGAGGGGGAGGGGTTTTGGAAGTGAATCTGGTTGGATGAGTATGTGAGTCAGTCAAGAGTTTCAGTTACAGGTTGACAGTTGATGAAATAAGTTAGTTCTGTGTTGAAGCAGTTAGAAGTGGACAGCTGCGGTTGTTCAGTGAGAAAAAGAATAGGAAAAAGTAAAGTTTAAGTGAAGTAAAGTTAAAGGAAAGTCTGAGTGTCATAACAGACTGGAGTGAAACAGTGAACATATATGGCATTGAGATAAACAAGTGTTACAAAGTTACATGAAAATATCCCTGTCAGTGAGGGAAAAGATTGAGTATGATACCAAAGCAATTGTACATCATTTACACATTACTAGTTACATTGTATCACCCTCTTATTTAGTATTTATTTCAATAAATCCTCTTTTATTTAAGTTTATACCCGCTGTGAATGAAATACTTCTCAGGACCACATAGTTCCTCGTAAGCCTTGAACTCGGTCTACCAAACTAAAAAGAGCAACAGTAGAAGCATAAAGGTTTGGAAATCCTTAAAATTTCCTGGTGGCAGCAGAATCTACCCAGTTAAACTTAATAAAGAGAACTTTTAAAGTGAAAATAGTCCTCCCCAATAAGGAGGACGTCACAATGCAGTTATCTTAACTATTTCGTGTTAGAACTGAAGCGAAAGTGCGCAAAGCAGATAGATATACATAACTCAAAGGGGGTCCCCTGATGGCCTAGAGCCAACCAGAGGCTAGGCAGAAGCCTGCCAAATTAACGTGTCACTTTTCCCAATACTATACCAGGCACTGAAGGTCAGACAGAGATGAAAGAAACCGAGAAGACACAGCAGAAAAGAAACTTAATGTTCCAGAGCCACCCCCACTCCCATGGCAGCCAGGGCTCGAGAGAGGCCTAGCTGACAGTTTTCTCCCATACGTTCCTGCCTAAGAATTCAAATCACAGGGAGAGATCCTTCTGACTGCGCCGTCGACCCAAGGCACTCACCTGGTGGGCACTCAAGACAGGGCCATTTCGGTGGCAGCCCCACGATTATGGAACCATCTCCCCAGGGAAGTGTGCCCACTCCCCCTCACTGTCTATCTTTAGGAGGCAGTTGAAGATGCTTTTATTTACAACCAGGGCTCTTTTTGTAGAAAAAGCCCAGCAGGAACTCATTAGCATAATACCAACAGCAGAAACTCATTAGCATATTAGGCCACAACCCTGACAGCACAGGTCATTACCACATTAGGCCGCACCCCCATGTTACCAGAAGTGTGGTTATCCAGCCACACCCACCTTTTGCTTCTTATTCTGTTTACCTTGTTTGTTGTCAAAACCCAGGGCTTTTCTTGTAGCAGGAACTCCTTTGCATGTTAGGCCACACACCCCTACTGTAGCCAATCCTAATGAGTTTCTGCTGTTGGGTGTGGCCTATTATGCTAATGAGTTCCTGCTGGGCGTGGCCAGCTCCGGAGCCAGCCGGAACTCCGTTCCTGTGCGTTCCTGCCCCAAAATAGCCCTGTTTACAACTGCATTTGACCTATTTAGTTTTTATTTATCGGCAGTCCTAATTGTTAGAGGGTTTTTTTAAAAAAAAATATATTGGGACCTTTTATGTGGTTTTTAATCATCGTTTTAATTTATATTGTAAGCTGCCTCGAATTCCACAAGGGAGAAATCGAAAAGAGCAAGAGTCCAGTAGCAACTTAAAGACTAATAAAATTTGTGGCAGGGGAGGAGCTTTCATGAGTCACGGCTCGCATCCTCGGATGCTACTGGACTCCGGTGTTCCCTCTAAGCTGAGTTAGTGTGCGGTAGCTCACAGTTTTTAAGCCTGCGGCTCACAGATTTCTGTCTTCGATCTGGAAGGGATGGCTCCAGAGCAAACTAAGTTATGCAGTAGCCAAATTGCTCACATGAAGACTTTTGGTAGGGTTCAGGAATCACACAACACACAGAGCTAGGTACAAGCTCTCTGAACAAGCTCAGTTCGTCTCTCTCTCTCTGTCCCAACTGATCTGTCTGAACTGCCTGTCAGCAAGCGCTTTATTAACAGAAGGAAAAGCAGTCTCATTCATGGTACAGCAAAAGTGTTACATTTCCCTAGAAAAACAGAATGTTCTTTTCACAGCAAGCTTGTCTTTGAATGTTGCAAAACTTATTCGCTCTCAGCAATTCATTGTGTTCTACAGTAAAACAACAGACTTATGCAGACTCAGCAAAGGATATGTCTTGCTTGCCAATTCTCCCGTTGCCACCTCCCTGTGAAAACAGGAGCCTCTCCCTGTAAGGACAGGAGCCTCTCCGGGTGTGCCTCGCTGAGATTTTCCTGTTCTCAGCAGAGATTTTCCTATCCCCACACTCACACAACTTTTAATGCCAGTGGCTCACAAAGTAGAATCTTTGCTCTCAAGACTCCACAGCTTAGAGGGAACATCTGGCTCTTTTCTCCTGGCACAGACAGACTAACACGACTACCCATCTTCACCCAGAAGGTCGGACCAGAACCAGCGGGTTGAAATTAAATCAGAAGAGTTTTCGGCTAAACAGTGGGAAGAACTTCCTGACAGAGCGGGTCCTCCATGGAACAGGCTTCCTCAGGAGGTGGCGGGCTCTCCTTCTTGGGAGGTTTTCAAACCGAGGCCAGGTGGCCATCGGACATCCATGCGGATTCTGTGAACTTTGTCAGATCACGAGAAGGGAGGGCAGGAAGGGTTGCCTCAGTGCTCAGTTCTCGTGGTCCTTTCTTACACGCCTGGGGAAATGCCGATCGCCACGTTGGAGTCAGGAAGCCATTTTTCTCCAGGCCAGTTTGGCCAGAGATCCTGGAGGTTTCTTGGTCATCTGATATTTATTTATATATACTTTTGATTTATATTCCGCCCTCCCCGCATGGGTGGGCTCAGGGCGGCTTACAACAGGTTAAAAAAAAATAACAGGATAAATACAGTAAGACATGGATACATCGACAAAGCAAAAATCTAAAATTCAATCAAGCAATCACATTTATACGTAAAGTGCTGTCGCATACAGATGGCGGTGTGGTAAGAAATATTAGAAATATAGAAGAAGGTTTGGGTTTAAAATGAACCAAAATAGTATACATATTTCTCTCTGCCCTTGCTAGGCCTGTTTGAAGCAAAGCCCGTGATCCTTTTGCAAGCTCCTCTTTCCCCAGAAGGATCTTTTTCTTGGTCACACATGCAAGGATGTAAAAACATTCCAAGGATGTAAAAACATTCCATTTCCCAGGAAAATCACTGATGTGGGACTTGCCAATACTCCTATTTCCTAGGCAATAAGATATATGACCATTTGGAAAATTGGCAGACTCCAATCCATCTCTCTGATAACATCAGAGCAGTTTATTTCCCATGATTGGGGAACACCTGAAGTAAACCATGGCACTGTATTTATGGAATGTGAACTCTTGTTACATGAGACCAAGGGAGGGAAACCAATTTCCTAAAAGACAATTTCAAGTTCTAAGTGTCAAAGTTTAACTGCAATCCAGTTATTAAGGGATCCCTTTGATCTCTGGTATAAATATGGGTGGTTCACAACAGACTTCAGCTGACTCCGAAAGGAGACAGCCAGGGAGGCCTCTCGAGCGCATGCA